ACCATGCCTCCCAGTCACACACAAAAATCATCACATATAAAGGTTTTACAGTTGCTCAGATGTAAATTAAAACTGTTGGTGATATTAGGAGCAGTACTGTTATATTTGCTGTTTCACTAAAATTACACATTTCTTTTTCATTCGTAGAAAAATTCCAAATAAATCAGATTCCTTTAAGTTGAAATTAAATCAGGGTTGTGTCTTAAAATGCTTGTAAACTTGACTAAAATGGGACAATGGTCTATTTACAGCAACCACACTATAAGTACCATAGTAGTTATATTTTTGCTATATTTATATACATATATAAATATATTATATTTATTTTAAATTTTTTCCAAACATATAAATCCTCTTTTGATCATATCAAGTCAGCTCATCAAGTCAAATGAGCTTCTTAAAATTTTAAATATTGGAAAATGTTTGGACTTGTCATATCCAACTCAAAAGGAAAAAGTTCAGCATTACTGCTGTTATTGGCAGATGAATCACCATCTCTGTTTACGTTTGCCATTGAATTAAATTGACCCTCTCTCTGCTTCAGGCCAAAAGAAATAAGCCACAGTTGTGAAGGAAGCTGTAAAAATGCTTCAAGCACTATGGCCTAAAGACAAAAAAGTAGACAGATTAGCACATTTGAAAACCTCTCTGTTTTTGTATTGTATCAGAGAATTACTGAATAAACAGTGCCTCAGTATAATTCAGTAGCATACTGGTACTCCTGTGCTGCCTTCACCTACTGCATGCTGAGCACAAATAAACATTTATTTAAGTATAACTGCAGATGCATAACTGGTACGACACATTTGAAGATCATTTAAGGTTCTTTCTCAGAGATAGACTGGACATAATAAAGATGTGATAGTTAAAAAAGCTGCAATTGCGCAGTGGTCCTGCTGCAGCTTGAGTTCAGGCACCTGACAGTTGCACTGATCGGCAGAGGCAGAGAGGCCTAACACAGGATATCTGCATCAATCAACCAGACAGCACAGGGATTTAAACAGCCCTCAGCTCACCTCAATCCTTTATGCTAAAGCCCTGTACATCTCATTTACAGATGTAGCCAACAGGAGTGTCATCTTTTTTTTTTACGGTATATCAAAGGCACCGGTATACGAGGGCTGCGCTCCAGTTTGTCCACGCCAAACTGCTGGTGCTTCACCCCAGAACTGTTTTTATGAAAGGTCAAAATTCGTCATGATATATGTGGGTGTTTGAGGAAAAGCTTGGCTTCTGATCAAAAGATGGTAAGTAAAAATGTCCTACACTATATCACTCTACATGACAGTTTCAGAAGGGAAAAGGACAGCCAACAGAAGTACAGCACAATACACTGAAACACAGCGACATGGCTGTCAAATAGGTCTCATTTTGGAAAAAACATCTAATAGCCCACACTCAGAAGTCTTTAATCCAGTGCCTCAAAATCTCTTCTTCTAAAGATAAGGAATGGAAAACATTTTTATTTTTATTTTTAAACATCACATCTATGATACATTCTTAAAAGTATGTCATTCACAAAATTTTGTGCATAAAGCGCCACAGATATTGAACTCACATTCGTATTCCACTGAATATGTAATAGGCACTAGTTTAACCCTCGCTGTGTAGCAGTCATTACTAACAAGACTGCTTGTTTTGAAATAGTTATACTGTATACACACATAATAAGAGGAAATGAGCGTATACTTTTCTCACTTTCACCCTCTCCCACATTGGAAATGAATGTAATTGCAGGGGCTGATCTAAGCAGACCTGACAGCTGTGATGAACCTCAATGACCATAAAAACATACAAAGACAGAGCTCAGGACACAAGGTCTCATTTTACCTTCACAATCGCTTCCTCTCTGTAATCACCAGCACTGACTCTGCTCTTTAGCCCACTTTAACGCCCTGTATAGCCACTTTTCCAGGGAAAGTGAAATGCTCTCAGGTTCTGCCAATCATACTTAACCACTGAAATGCCAGGTAAACCAAGGCCCCTTATTTTCCTCCTTAAATAACTTTCAAGGTAATAATATCAATTTCATGTAGCCATTGTGCATTCAGTACACAGCTGAGATATGATTATAACAGCACAACTGCAACCCGATTACACCTTGGGATGTCTTTCATTATTATCAATGTTAACTCACTATCATAAAGTCACCTGTATGTATCAATCCAGTAATAGGAGGAACATTAAAGGGCATGTCTGGTGATATTCTATATTTTTCTTATTATCAATAAATCCTTTGAACAAAACAAACGATGAACAGATCATCCTAACAAGTGTCTGTGTATCCAAAGCCTGATGTAACTTATTCCTCTGCACCATAGAGCTTGGCTATTGTCCAAAAAAGTATTAAAGTGAGCCACACTGTTGCACTGGGTGACATCTCCCTTCATGAACATGAGCACTGTAGTTTATGCTGAGGCAATCCTACCAGTGTTGAATCGATACACTGTCCCGCTGCTGTAAATACTAACTGAAGGACCAAATGTGTTAATCTGCCGCTGAAAATAGTCCCCATCAAATACTTTATTTCCAACTGTTAACGTTAGTAACATTTGTGAAAAACTACAGTTGTAGGAATTTACTGAGCCATTTGTGAGCAGTTCTGTGTATTCTTATTTATTTATTGATTTGTGTGCTTCTGTGGGAGTTGTTAACAATAAGAAATGTTTGAACAGCACTAGTCTTACCGTTTAAGAGGATTAGGGGAAAAAATTTTCAGACAATTTAACTCACTTTGACTAGAACAGCGGGGTTCTTATATCTCTGTAAGGACTTCTCACTCCTTTTGCACGAACCACATCTATATCTTTCTCTAACTTGTCTTCCTCACCTGGGTTCACATCATCAATGCATTTCAGGAAAAAACAGTACAAATGCACTTGGCATCATGAGACCAGTGTGACATTTCATGGAGCTAACGAAAACACACAATGTGACTGACAGTAAGTAACATAGACTTAGACAAAGTGTCTGTGTTTGAGAATTTTGACATGAGAAAGTTTCAAAATTGTTCTCTACCCAGCATGCATTTACAGATCAGTCATGCATCTGCAGCAGTGAGCTGACAGCAGCAGATAGTATTACACAGCTCCTACTGACAGCTCTGACCTCCACCAGGCTGATCGATATGCAGGGAGCTGAGGGAGGGCGGTGGAATGAGAGAAATACTTGGGGAACGAGGTGAAGAGGAAAAAGTGAAACAGAATGAAAACGAAGAATAAAAATGAGGAACTCAGGGAAGACAGACAGCGGCAAAAAGAAAAAGGAGACTAAGGAGAGAGACCGAAACAGGTTTCAGACTAGTTATCTCCAAGCCGAGGGTGTCTGGGTTAGACACCAAGGACGTCTAGGCTTTCACTCACAGAGGTTCAGAGGGGAGGCAGGAGGGAGGGGGAGACACACTGCTGAGACTCAGGTTATCCCCCAGCTAAAGGGTCTCTGGGTTTAGACACTGAGGAGGGTATTAGCTTTCACACACTGCTGGGGTAACGGGGGAGTCTGCCAGATGTCAGCTCCTTACCCATAAATCCTGCTAAATGGGCAGCGGCTATGGGTTAGAGGGGGAAAGTTGAGTGGACGTCACCTCTCTATCATCTTCTGTGGTGTTTGTTGAAGTCGGAGCTGGAGTCATATAAATTTGATTTCAGTCAGCTGATGTCAATTCTTTGTTCCCTGTTATTTCTCATCAGACTGACGACTTTCTTATGCTGAGCGTGTTCTTGATTATGTCTATTTCCTGTGTTGAATCAATCAAATGTGAGCTGAAACTCGCACTGGACCAAGTTCTCCTTTTCTGTATCTCTATTAAGGAGTAGACTGACAGTGCAACAGCAGAGGAAGTTTGGAAAGTGTGCGGGAAAAAAAGGGCAACTGTCACTGAAATGAGAAATCAAAACTGTTTGTAACTTTGTCATGTAGAAATTTTTTTATTTTTTCGTTTGCTTTTGTTTTTATGCTTTTTCCCCAAATTTATTCTTTTCCTGAATTGTTAAGTCGGTATAAAACACAATAAAGTGTTCATACTACCAAGTGTGAGTTAAGTGTACATATACCCGCGTTTTGTGTTGTGACATCGAGTTTCAGTGGAACAAACTCATTGGCAGTTACCAATCTGTGTATCCCGGGTCAGTTGTTAAGAAGTTATGATTAAAACCTTCTCAAATTCAGGCTGACGTCAATACATTCTTGAAATTATACACATGGTTTTGGATGGATTTCATGGGCTCCCGGTCATAAATCTCACTCGCTGCATAAATACCCTTGTAAACTTTAAATTCATATTTTTACAAAGAGAAAGAAAAAAAACACCACAGTTGGGGTTAGGTGGTTTTTACGCAACGGTTGTGCACATTTCGTTAGTGTTACGGTGAAAAAGGCTGCATGCCGTTAGACCCACCTCTCTGCTCAGCTCTGTCTTTGCTCCTCTGTGACAAAAACAATCACGTCTATTCACTGTAATGTCCAGCGAGTTTCAGAAACCACCTTGAACTTTCAAGCCACCTGCTCGAGTTAAACTAACCCCCAACAGCACAATAACACACAGTCATTCACCCCAAAAGAGGACTTTAAAGAGGTTCTACTTTTAAAAATCCCTCAGGGCCAATCAGATTTATAGGCACAGTCACAGATCTCAGGTCAGCTTTAAACACCAAACTGACCCTAAGGCACAGCACAGTTTTCCGCGAGAAGCTTCACTCTATTTTCCTGTGGCTAAATCTGGGTCATGTAATATTTTTTAAATTCAGAAAATAAAACGTTTTAAATCCTCTGTCTATAGTGGTACAAAAGTATCCACAGAAATGTATTTATCATAATTTCTCAGGTGAAATAGAAATACTCAAAAGCTTAAATTAGTTTTTGCATATTCCTCAGCACTTAGTCTTGTTTTAAATGAGTGTGTTGATTACACTGTTTCATTGGGTGGCTACATACTACTTTTGATTTGAACTTTTCACTGGTTTCTCTTATTTATTTCTACTGACTTATAGTTTTCTGCTCACCATTTTCCTCTGGTTGCTGAGGCAGAAAGTACAGATGTGCTTGGGCTGAGTTGATTGGTCAGATCCTCGGTTGGGGGAGGAGTTAACATGGAAGAACGGTGGTGAGGGAGCGTGGCACGGCTGTCCGTCATGAAGCCCTTCGCCCAGGAGCAAGACGTTCCCCAGATGACTGATGTAGCTGCTGGCCAAACGTAGTGTCTCGATTTTTGACAGCTTCCTAATCATCAAGTCAGAATGAGATTCATGGCATTAATAAGGACAAAATGTTTACAAAGTTTACAATAATTTAACAAAAAATGATCATGGGGTAGAACAGAACTGTTGCACTTTTTATATAGGATTGGAAAACAAGGTGCAACAAGAAGACAATGATGTGAGATGTTAAATATTTGTTCCCTACTGGAGTCTGGAGCCTAACTCTATGACACATCATTTATAGGAAATATAAACTCATAATTAAATGCAGTAAGATTACAGGCCTGTTCAAAAAAAAAGTAATTCAACTGTGATAAAATGTTATCCAGAGCTTCATCGGGGACTAATTTTCACTTATTTTAGTTCCCAGATGGAAATCATTTTTTTCTCTGGGAACCTATTGTGCATCAGACCAAATGTCATGACACAGTTTGAGTCATGCTGCTTTGTACCTGTCTGCAGGCTCGGTGGGGATGAGTGTGCGCAGCGCTGTGAATGCTGTGTTGACAGAATTGGTGCGATCTCTCTCCCGTGCGTTGGCTGCGGTCCTCTGGCGAACTTCCACAGGGGGGGATGAGCCCTGGGGGCCGAGCCTCCCTACCATGCCCCCTACACCTACCCCCCCGCCCCCTACTCCCCCACATAGCTTCCTCTTCCTGTTCACCTTGATGTGAAAAGCAGACGGGGACGAGGAGGACAGGCGGAAGGCAGCAGAGTTGGAGGAGTTGGTACGCTCCTCAGAACCTGAACCCTCGCTCCCGTTCTCATCATCGTCTTCTGAGAGGAGTGCGATGTCGCCATATAAGAAGCGGCCTGCGGGAGGCGCTGTGCGAAGCATGGCGAATGTCATTCTAATCGCAACAGGTCTGACAGCTACTGATCAATCCTGGTGAGACGTCCACTTGTTGAGGTTAAGCTTGTAACTTTTCTGCAAAGTTACAGCAAAGTTTCTGTTGATGCTTCTCCCTAAAGGTGTCCACCCCTCAAAATGTTACTTTACCCCCAATGTCTCTTTGCAAAATTTGTTAAGCCACGTAAGTCAGATGTAGCCCTAACAAGGCTGAGTCAGTCTTGGTTTAAGAGATCAGCAAGTTGATCCTAAGTCAGCAATTGAGAGTGACTTGACCCCGGAGCTGCTGTGTGACAGGCGGCTGCAGGTTCCAGGTCCTTCTTGTTTTTCTCTCTTGGTTCATACAAAAACACTTCACATCCCAAAGGTCAGTTCCTCTTTCAGTTAATCCTTTGACAGAAAGTAAATTTATAATGGCATGTTGAAGTAAAACGGTTGTGATTTGTCCTCTTTTTCTTCTCTGAACCTCTTTCTTGGTCCTTTGTTTCTATATTTGTCTGTTTCGATTCCAGTTGCAAAAACTACTCCCAGCCTGTGGCAGCAGTTTGACTCTCTCTTGCTCTCTACTGGTCTCTCTCTCACCCCTCTCCCTCTCTGCCTCTTTGCTCCACGTGTGCCTGCTGTCTGAGTGTTTCCGTCTGCCTCTGGTCTTATAGCCGGTGGGAGGGCCAGAGGACTCCTCCTCTGAGCAGTGAGGGTCCCTCGGCTGCTGTCTAGAAGCAGGCCAGAGAGACCGGAGGCAAGAAGCAAGCCATCAGCAGGAGTTTGTTTTGGCTGCACACTGGTGTGTTTCAGGGGAAATCCACCCTAAAACAGAACTTGCATCACCCTAGTTTGCTGGGTGGATTTGGTGACCTTAGAGGCCAGGGAGCCCCCTGAAACTCACATCGCTATCAGCATGGGTACTGCATACAGTCAGTTACTTCGACGTTGACTTAAAATGGAAATGAAACAGATAAAATCTTGTCATCTGACAGGAGTAATGCCATGATCTTGAACTGTGCAATCAAATATCGGATGCCTGAGACAAAACTAATTCTGAATCTTTTTTAGTGTGTTTTCTGTTTTATTTTGCTTCAAAGACATGACCAAACTCAGACTTCTGAGGTATTTAACACTGCTGGATGCCAATTTGTCACATAACAAAAAACGTGGTGAAATTATTTAATATAATTTGATAATCCTCTGGAACATTGTGTTTTCAGGTTTTGACATGGATCAGTTGTGCAGACAGTCTCCTCCATGTTCCTGCTTTTCTATACTGGATGACCTTTTCTCTGTGCAGGCAGAGCAGGCAGAGCAGGCTACCAGCAAGAGGTAAGACTGGAACTTTGGTTTGTAAAAACGGATGTTTTCTTCACCCACTTTCTTTACATGAAGAATCTGAGAAGCTTGAGTGGTGAAGTAAGAGTTTGCCTTTCTCCCTGGGTTTCTTCCTGCGGCCTCCCCCTCTGTGCTGTGTTCGTCCCTGGACAGCAGGCTGGGAGGCGTGCAGCCGCAGTGCTGGAAGCTGAAGGTTCAGACTGGGCTCGTGGCTGAAGCCTGGAATTGACTTCATTCAGCCATGGCTGGAGCTTTTTTTCTGCACAAGCTGTGATGCTCGAGGGCCTGCAAGTAGTTTTCTCTCAAGGGATTCCGATTTTTAGGGTGGAGTGTTTTGGTGATGAAGGGGAGTTTCAAGGGTTTGTAGTAGGAGAGCTCCTATTTTACTCACTTACACTCCCTTTCACAATCTGTCTTCCTCGGAAAGAGAAGAAGAAATGAGAAGAGACAGCAAAGGGAGCAAAGACAGAGAAGAGAAGAAAGACAAGTGGGAAAAAACTAATGGGAGAGAATACAGAATATATAATCTATCAGTCAATCTATCTATCTATCTATATATCTATCTATCTATCTATCTATCTATCTATCTATCTATCTATCTATCTATCTATCTATCTATCTATGTGTGGCAAAACATGAAGGTGTTCTAGTAGTTTGGAAAATCAACTTCTCCATCAGATTTTACTAAAAGTATTTTATAGCCTTCATCAAACTCTAATCTGCTTTTCCTACTTAAACTCTCTGGGATTTTATTAGCCATGATTGTGCAACTTAAATCTTATTTCCAAGGAACTGACTGACCTTTAAATTTTGCTTCCTGTTTTAAAAGTACGGCGGTTAAAGGTTGACAACCTATGTAAAACTCAACTATGAAGTCTATAATCCTCAGTAGTGCATTATTACAAAACTCTAAACCGAACTGCCATTACTGGTATGCATCTTTTGTGTAGATTGGCAACCGTAAGCTTCTGCTGAAAACTAATAGCACAATGAATAATCTGTCAGTTACACAGTGTTATAGTCAGCATTCATCACTCTCTTTTTTTTCCCATTCTGTCCATATTTCTCTCTCTCTCTCTCTCTATCTCTCTCTCTCTCTTTCCTCTCTGTATCTATCTCCACCATTCAATCACAGTTGTAGTGTTTATGCTTTGGTATTGACTGTATGAACGGGCCAATGTCGGTTGCAGTGGTTGATTACAGTACATACAGGAAGTACTTGGAGTCAGTAGGGATAGGGGAGGCAGGACGGATCGGCTATAGGGGATCAAACCACTGTCTAAATACTATAATAAAAAAGAGCATGGGTAAATTCTGATCCTTCTCTATAATATAATAAGTGCTTGGTTTATAGAAGACAGAAAACAGAAAGCATTAAGATCTAGCATTAAGTGGTCCTACCTAAATATATCTGACATGGTAATATTTACTGTCGCTGCTCTGCCTGCTCAGATCACCAAGCGGCTGTCAGTTCAGATCTTGCAGTCAAGTACAGCTATCATATAGATGGGGTTCTTCATCATTATCAGAGGGGTAGAGGTGCTTTGGTAGCCAGTCACAAAACTGCAGTAAAACTGTTGTAAACACCATAGATTTTGCATTGTTTGTTAATTCTTGTTGAGGGAATAATAAAATGCCATTTCAGAGTTTGATTTGCTTTACTTTCATTCTGATATTAACATAAGATTACTTGACTCAGTATAATCATCGAATCTTTGACTGGAAATGCCCCACTAAGTTTGCTATTCAAATAAATGTTTAGCTAAAAGGAGCTAGCTGAATCACAGAAACCTTTATGGCTTCCTGACATATCCTATGAATTTTGCTGATCTTGGTTTTGTTGGTTGTTGAGCCTGGCTATCTTAATGTTACAATATCCAGAGCATGGTGAGAATGTTAGTGTCTCCGAGCTAACTAAATCAAAGTTAAAATGTTTACAACGCTCAAGATGTGGTACTGAACAACAACCGCAGATCTTGCATGGAATAAGAATGTGAGGGAAACAAGCAACACATCCAGTAACTGGGTATCAAATGCGTTTGAAAACAGTTGCCTGGTTGTCAACTCTGAAAATCTGAGACGCAGACTGGATCTACATTACATCATGTCACTCATCAATGTGCCCTGCCTTCATCCAACCAGTGTCCCAGGTCCTCAGCAATGACCTTTACTGTAGATCAGTTTCCTGCACCTGGGCCTCACCTCAGTGAGTGACCCAGATTCAACAGCCTATAATATTGCTGTTACCGTTATGTAAGTTTTGCAAATAATAAAATGCTAAATGAAAATGGACCAAAAATAACAAAACCACCCAGCTTATTTTTTTTTCTTTCTAGAGCCAGCACTGCAATACAGTCCAGCAGTTTATTGCTCTTGCAAGAAGAAAATCATGACAGCTTGTGGTAAACAGTGAGGTTTGGTTCTGGTTCCTTTTTGGATCTGCCTCTGAGTGTAATACTCAGATTAATCAAGTTATGAGTCTAATAAATATCTCTTTAAATATTTTATCTGGTTTCTCTTTTAATTAGCAACCAGTAATGAACCATTCAGGATGTGGCCAATCAATAGATCATTGAATTTAATGAGAAGATTTGGAGCAACAGATCAGTCCAGAATAGCAGTACACATGGCTGACCTGAGGAATAAATGTACTAAAGGATGGCCCGACTCTTTATTACAGCAAGTACTTCATACCCACTACAGAATATAATTTTAGGTGTGTTTTGGTGCTTTTCATTTGTTCACAGGCCCAAATATCTTGATTAACGACTGTAAGACTGTGTTTAGATTGATTGTATATATTTTTGAATACCCACCAAACTGATATATTTCCAAACCAGCTTCACTCACTGTGATCCGTCATTACATGCATTAGCATGATCTTCCTCTGATTTGCATCTCCCAGGAGTGTGTGGCTGGTCTAACACAGTATCCATTTCTTTCTGAATTGCTGCCCGCAGGCCAGAAAACATTTGACTGGGTATATTGTAGACTTTAAGTCTTTTCATAATCACACATGGCTGCATTTGCCAGAAGAATGTTGTATGAAAAGGAAATAGCTACATTACAGCACAGTAATGGTCACATTTACATGAAACTACATAAAGTGTTGACCTGAGTGCACGACACGGACTCTGAATTTTAAAAATCATGTTGAATGTGCTTCAAATAGTGGTAGGTTGTCAGATATGGGTTATATGAGAAATTGTTATAAAGATTGAACTTAAAATTATATTAAACATAGACTAGATTTACAGGACAATGTAAAATCTAAAATTTAGGCACAGGCTATATTTAATCTTGCAGTGGGCGATGATGAAGATACTGTCAGATTTTTCAATCTGATTTTTTGCTGAGCTGAAAGTATGCTACAGCTGTAAATATTGTATTAGAAATACATTTTCCACCACGCGTGTTTACAATTCAAATTACTGAAGTAGGCCTAATTTTCTTAAGATCTCTGCTTTCCTGATAGGGCACAGTAAGTCTGTTGTTTGTTGATTTTTGACAGTGCTAGTTAAACAGGTTACCAAAAAACAGCTCCAAATGAATGCTAATGTTGCTCTGAACCTGCTGGATGTATAAATAGAAAACTGTTAAAATGCACTAATGAATAATAACATTACCATACCATTCAATGCCATTTCTCTGGTGTGTAGGGATGTTTGACATTACAG